TTGCGTGAGGAGGCTGGGATGCTGGGGCAACTTGAGTGAAGAAAAGTCTGTTGTGACTTTTAGAATAGAGTAGACTGAGGATTTTCAGAGTTTTACAGCTGCACCAGCTTCGAGTGACTGCAAATCTCAGCAGAAGGTGCGCAATGTGGTATGCGACAAACGCGACCTTCAAGACACTAAAAGGCACATATACGCACACATACACACACGTGAGGACAGGCAATCATGTGTCGATGTGGAGTGATTCGCCATCAAGAATGGCGCCAGCCACAAAATGCATCCATCTCTTCGCGTCCGATATCAAAGCCCTCAAGTCGTCTTGGCAACGACAGTTTCGAGTGGCGCTCGCCTCCAAACGGGGATCTTGTCCAAGGCATTGCCCCCTCGACGCGGATTGACGTTGGCCTGTTGTTAGCCTCGCTTTCTCACACAGCACTAGGCCACGGAAACTGCAGACATCTGTTCCGTCGTCAAGCGTCTGTTGCGAAGAGTCGACAGTGCCTGTTGTTGGGCTGTATACAGACGCACAAATGTCCAAATGCAATCTTGCGGACAGGGCCCTTTGAGACTGGCAGGGTTGAGAGCTGATTAGGGCCTCGAGAGGTGCTCGGCTTTGAGCACTCGGTCCAGTCGGAGCCCGGACATGGCCGAGCAAATAAATAACCACTCAGTCCACCCCGGAGCCAATGGTTAGGAGGGTGGAGCCACTAGGACACCGAATGTGGGGCTGGTGAGAGCAAGAGTCATCCCAGAATGAGTCAAGTGAGTTGGTTGTACGACAGGCCGACTGACTGTCCGAAAGATAGGCTGTCCCGTGGGGTGACAAAGGAGGGGAGCTGTTGAAAGTTTGGCCTGGCGCCAGTGATTGGCTGTTTGCGCCGACGCCTCCGTTCGAGTTGGAAACCGACCGACAGACCAGGCAGCGACCCAGTCCTCCAAGACAACGTCCGGAGACGCCGAGTCGGCCGAGGCTAGGAAGAGAAGAGGAGGCGAAGGGAGACAGCTAGAAAGGGCTAGAGAGCGCGAGAGAGCTAGAGAAGGATATATATAGAGAGAGAGCTAAATAGGGATAGATAGTCATAGACATATATAAAGAGAGAGCTAAAGAGGGAGAGATAGAGAGATATATAGAAAGAGAGCTAAAGAGAGAGAGATAGAGATATATATAGAGAGAGCTGAGAGGGATAGATAGAGATAGATAAATAAAGAGATATAGATAGAGTGTGATAGAGAGATGGATAGGGCGAGAGATAGAGCTAAAAGGGATAAATGGAGATAGATAGATAGATAGAGCTAAATAGGGATAGATAGAGATAGAAAGAGAGAGCTAAAGAGGAATAGATAGAGTTAGATAGATAGATAGATAAATAGATAGATAGATAGATAAATAGAGCTAAAGAGGGACCGATGGAGATAGAGAGAGAGAGCTAAGGAGGGATAGATAGAGATAGATATATATATATAGAGAGAGATTTAAAGAGGGAGAGCTAAAAGGGATAGATAGAGATTGATAGATAGATAGATAGAGCTAAAGAGGGATATATATATATATATATATATATAGGTAGATAGATAGATAGATAGATAGATAGATAGATAGATAGATAG